GCTACCTAGCTGACAGTCAGCAAGTTCCAGTTATGTCACTAAATCCTACACACTGGTCCTTTAAAGGTCAGCACTGTCAAGACAACTTACTTTTAGTCAGTGGTGCAAATTTGTGTGTGACCAGGCCTTTATCATGTTTGCAATGTTATTTTCCCATTAGAGTTAGAACATAGCGGATTTCCTGTTCCAATCAGCAAGACATATAAGCACATTTCATACAGTGGCAATGCAAAGTGCTTTAAAGTTTAAGTCATTATTACAGCACTTAAGTAAGTAATAATTTGTTATTATCAGTATCTCTTAATTGAGTTTATATTAATTAAGCATCAGTAGAAGTATAACTTGTAATATTGGGACTTATTTGCTGCTTCTGGGTAAATTGAGCTTGCCTATCTTTTTTGCAGTAGCGTCTTAACTACACATGGGTGCAGTGTGGGCTTCACCTTGAATTCTACTGTTTGAGTCAGAACAACGCTGAAAGCTGACATTTTTTCATGTTTATTGAGTTAAGTATTCATTTCTCACTGTGTGTGCCTTTTATCTCAGTATGACTACAGTCACACACAACACGTCTGTCTTTCTTTATCTGTGGACAAGGAAGTGGGACAGAGGAACAGAGTTTTGATCTTCTTGTGTTTGATTGCCACTCAGACTGTAGAGCAGACAAGCTGAGAAGCTCCATCAGTTCTCCGATGTGTTAATTGGGACGTGAGACAAACAACAGGTGAGGAGAGGTCCATAAGGGCATGACATAAAGAGTGTGAAAAGGTAGAGGAAGTGTTGATGAGAGTAGAGACAATCTTGGAAAAAACTTAAGGAAAATTTGTATTACATGCCTGCAGGCTGCACTTTGGTGAATTCAGGAGATTTAAAGCTAAAGAAAAGGCTAGACTAAACATAGATGAGGCATATAGAGGGGAGGATTGGTGATGAATAGAACATGAAAGCAAAAAGGTCAGCGTGGATGAGATGTAGCGCCGTGAGGAATGGGGAAGATTGTGGAGAAAGGACAAGCAATAGAGGTTAAAAGAGAAAGAGAGAGACAAAAAACCGAACTGATCAAAGGAAGGATTTACAGAGGGGCAGGAACACACATTTGCGCATGCACTGAATCTGTGCTAGATAAGTTAATTCATCCTGGACTTAACTGGCTTACAAGCTCCATTAGGCAAAGTTTCAAGATGCCCTTAAAATGAACCAAATACCAAAGTGTGTGGCTGTGAATTTTCAGTAATGCAGATGCAGCAGTTGCCTTGGGGTACAATTCAACAGTATTCTATAGCAGTAAACTATTAATAAAAAAGCAGATGAGTTTTACTCAATAAAAATATGATTATATAGTTTTTCTAATACAAACGGAAATGTGTGACTTGCCATAACTGGTCATGGAAATTTGCAGTCTTGCGATAGAAAGAAATAATGGCGATTCAGCACAAATGAATTCATCAAATAATCAAATCTCTGATCTAATCAAAGGACGTCTGCACATTTGACCACTTATATAAAATAATCACATCAACAAACATTTATGCCAAACTTACTTACTTCTTCCTGCTTCTCACCCCCACTCTGTAAAATACCCTTTTACGGCATTCTCCTATAAAAATGAGTCAGCTTAAAACAAATAGTCAGCTCTTTTAAACCAACTCATGGAGCTAATGTTAGCTTAATTAGCTAACTAGTCACGGTTGATAACATCTGCCAGCAGTAATCATCATTTCAGCTGGTAACATCTATGGTCACCGGCTACAAATGAGAAATCCTAGCCCCATTGTTTCAAATCTGCCACCATTATCACTATAAATCATGGCAGTATTCACTTGATGGGAAACCGGTGAGGGATTGTGTCCTTGTCACTGTTGTTGTGACGGGGGAAGTTACTTTGAACAAAAAATCTACTAATTGCCTGACGCACAGGATCAGGGCAACTTACATTTTACATGCATATGTTTAAAATAATCTAAGTATTTCCACATATCTCATCTAAAAGGTGCAGTAGGTAACTTTTATAAAAATATATATTTTTTTTAATTTTAGCTTAAACTTTGACTATATCCTGACAGTAGTATATGAGACAGATAATATGTGGAAAAAATCAAACTGTGCTTCAGGAAAAAAATTACCTACTGAAGCTTTAAACTGTTATATTAACATTTTAATATAGGCTAAAAAGCAGTGTTTTTGCTGCCCTCTCTGGTTGAATGTGTTCAGCCTGTTAAACCTGTAACCATATCAGTTGAAGAATAACATTCATTTTCAGTTTATTAGGTATATCTGGGTAACACTAATGCAGTCTGATACAAGAGCCGTGCACTGAATGCTAGTCAAATCCTAGATAGACAAAATATAAGAAACACCTGTCAGTATAAGGCAATACAATTCAGGGGCACTACAAACTACAGCTGCCAAACTGATCACACAGTTGAATCATTCTAACTTTCACAAAGGTAGGGTTTATTGCAGGGCTGTTACATGAGACTGTGTTAGCTTCTAGGCATACCAATTGTATAAACTCAAAATAGTCTCTGATTCTTTTGGTGCTTTGACATTTAAGACCAACAATTTGAACGACTTCACCCACAAATGTAGACCAACTGTACTACCCAGGATGATAATACACTGTTTTATTCACATGTATTACAAATGTGACCAAGAGACCGAGGTCTTTTCTCTTCTGTTTCAGTCTCCAAGTGGTTGATTGGCTCCTTGTGCTGAAACTTCAAAAGGTGATTGATGATTTTAATTAGATGTTGGGACCCTACTGGGAGCTGACGGAGAGCTAGAGTGCCCTCTTTTGGGCTTGGAGGACTCTGGCTCTCACCCAAATATAGTGGTGGCTGATTACCTACACTGATTCAGGGAGGCAGGGTCACCTGTCAGTTCTGATAATCATGTCCAATTTCTAATCTACAGTCAAAGTTACTGTAAATCTCTACCTTTCTTGTATTCAGAGCTATAAAGACAGACATGTTGAAAAGCAAAAGATAATTATATTGTTCAAAACACAAGGGTATGTACAATCATGTTGCTTGGCAAAAAAAAGGCTATGTTAGATCTGAACGTTTTACTTAAAACCATACAAAAGGTCATAGCTCTTTCTGTATTGATGACGGATGGCTTTTGTGCCATGCAGCCACTTAATCGCCAAACAAGAAGCTCTGATTGGCTGCTGCACTGGACAAAAAGAGATCAGACTCCTCAAGAACCAGAGGCAAATAGCAAAGCACGTTTGCATCAGACTGGCACTATCACAGGGAGTTACTGCTGTGATTTACCTTGCTGTTTGTTACACACACCAGAGCTTCTGTCAGCACAGGTTAAGGCAGACTAGCTGGTCTAAGTAATGTGCTCTGACCCAGATCAAGTAATTTACCCTCAGCTAGGGCAGCATTAAAGGTCTGCTTGGCTTGGATTAGTGAATGTAGCTGACTCTAAGGAGTGCAACTGCTGTATATATCAGCAATGTTAATAAAGGGATGGTGCAGGTCTTTAATTTAACTGCAAGAAACTAAAGCTCTGCCCAAATTATTGGGGTAGGGAGGTTGGGCTGAGTCTTGGATTAAAAGGTCTGGCCCACACCTATTTCTATGAACCCCCTCAGAAAAAAACTGCAATCCCCTCTCCCCAATATCTCAAGACAATATATTTGTGCCAAACATAGGACAAAAAAATCCAGTCGCCTGTTGAGTTGAGAAAAGAGCTGATAAATAAAGTATGAAATCTCACAAGGGAAGAATGAACTAAAAAATCAATCTAGGATGAAAAGAAGTTAAAAAACTCTCCACCTCCTGTCAACTAAAAGTAAACATATGAACCCTCCCCCTTTCCTGACTGCCCCGCACTCTCTAATAATTTTCATACAGTCCCTAAATCAATACTGCACTTACACAGACCCAAGTGTATCGACTTTATTAGTGACTGGTGTAAACACAGTCAAGTCCTAATATAACTTCATTCAAAATTTGTCCAGGGTGTATTGTGGCTGTGAGACAAAGTGTACACCCTGGCCCCATGTTGTCCTTTCTCCTTGCCATCAACTGCGGCACACAAACAGGATCTGTTTCTGTTTCCTGCTGCAGTTGTAAGATATTCTTGTATTTGCAGTAGGTGCAGGCTATGGTTTTGCCTGCGCATGTAATCTGGTCAGGTTATTTGTCTGCTTTGTATTGTGGCTGTAGGCTGGTTCTGTCTGTGCTGTTCTCAGTGTTGTTTTTTGTGGTCTGTTGGGATGTAAGCTGTTAAGGTTTGTGTCTGTGCTCAGAGTCAGTGCCAGGTGTTATGCATTTCACGCTCACTGCCTTCCGTCTCACTTGGGGCTCAGCAGCTACCCTCACACACACACACACACGTCACAGATACAAAAAAACAGCACATGCCCCCCTTCAAATTGCCTTCCTTTGTGCTCATTGTCTCTTTCTCACCTATCATCTCCAGTTTTTCTTTTCAGACAGAATCGGCTGCCTGCCATTATTAGTCAGTCTTCACTACAACTTTTGCGCTGTTTCTTTCTGTTGCTTTCTCTGTTGTTTGTCTCTTCGACTGTTCTTCTTGTCTGTCTCTCTTTTGCCACGTCCGCCTCTTTCTTCCACTAATGACCTGTCTGCTCATCCCCATTACATCACTGTGTTGTCTGAGTTAATTTTTGCTTCATTTTTTCTCTCGACACACACACACACACCTGCCTGTCATGGATGGAGGGGGTGACCACCATGCAGCTTGCCAATCTGCTCAGTATATCAGTAATGCTGCACACACACCAGAGATGATTCATCACAAGACTGCAAAAACTCACAAATCAAACGAAGCAGAAAGCAAACGCTCACCCCTAAATACTTTCACAGCATGTAAGAGCACATACAGAAAACAAACCCACCACCTCAACTTTGACAAAATCTTAGTTTCTATTACAGCTCTTTTCTTTTTCCCCACTCTCCCTTTCAACATTAGGACAAACACCTTTCACCTTTACTTCCACACTTATAATTATACCCAACTCTTACCGTGATAGTGGGGATTGCTGTGACGAGCGAGTAGATGAGCACAGGGGGGATCTTGCTGGTGTCGTCCGGACCAGGGTAGGGCTTGGAAAAGGTCTTGTCGTAGCAGAAGAAGCCCTGGATGTGCACGGGGAAGGTGTCTGTATACTCGAAGTAGTAAGCCAGCAGCACCGTCCCAGCCATGATCACCAGCTGGAAATAGAACATTATCCCTCCGTTAGGAACCGAGAGGACAAAAAAGGATGGAGAGGCGGAGGAGGTGGAAGAGGAGGAGGAGGAGGAGAGGAAGAGGGGAGAGTCAAGTCCCTGTTCCCCTCAGCCACAGGGAGATGCATAGGAAATACGAGAGAAAGACCGAGTGAGTGAGGTTCAGTGTTTGGATCAGAGAGAGAGAGAGAGAGAGAGAGAGATAACAAGACAAGAAAGAGAAAGGGAAATCTGCAAGAGGAGGCTCCTCTCTTCAATAGATGAATACAGGAACAAAAAACAGAATAAAAGAGGGTTCCGTGGCAGCAGAAGCAGCAAAAACAGAGAATTGCATAGAGAGCGATCGAGAGAATGAGAGAGCAATAGAGATAGAGAGAGAGGAAGGGAAGGAGGGAGGTGGGAGGGAGAGAAAGGGGGAGTGCTGCCAGCACTCATGAAATCTACTACAGTTGAGCTGTGGGTGTATATGTAGATACCGTGTGTGTGTGTGTAGAATATATGAATGTGTGTGATAAGAGCATGTGCAGTGTGTTTTTGCAGACGTGGTTCTCACCCTGAGCTGAGGTCTCTGCTAAAAAGTTGAATTCTTAAAATACTTGTAGGAACTTCTCTCTACTCTACTACTACTCCACTCTAATGTCTGTAGGTATAAATGAGAAATAATTATGTATAAATACCTGATCTGATGTTTTTTGGCAGAGGTAAAACTGGAATTAATCATGTCCGATGTTTCAATCTGTGATAAGAGTGTATAAAACAGCTAAATATGGAGCCAGAAGTTTAGTCACTTCTGCACTACCTGCTCAGTGCCAAATGTTAGGTAATCAATTAGCAACCAGCAGGTGAACATGGTGGAGCATTTAGCAGCTAAAGAGACAGATTTTTCTCCCATGAGTTAATGAAGACTCATGAATATTGGGCTTACAATCATCAAATGGACACAAACACGACTCCAAATTAATTCTAGTCGCTGTGAGTCTGCTGGATGTGTAAATAAGCAACTGTTTGCTGACTACTTATAAACCTTAAAGGTGAAACTGTGTCAGGTGTTATTTAAATTAAAGTGATCATGAAATGCAATATATATATGTTAAGACACTGACAGGTACACTGACACACAAAACAAAAATGAACTTAACCATTCAATAGTCCATTAAAACTAAAGAGATGCCTATTTACAAATCAATTAGACAAGTCTAATATTCACTTTCTTTTTAGTTCTGGTGTGGTTCCCACCAACTCCTGAGTGATATATCTGGCTCTTTAGTTACTAAATGATTCACTATGTTCACCAGCTAATCACTAACTCTGACGCGGGGCAGGGAGAGGCAGAACATGTTTTCACTGAACAAAGCTGGCTGCTGCTTGAAACGAGGTTGGTGAGATCGCTAGGATTAAACCAAAACCGTAAAGTTGTGTGATGAAAAAAACAGAACAATGAGCTGAAAGAGGTTAACTAATAAAAAAAAGAGATAAAATCCTTCATCACTATAAGCAGCTCTTTACACATTACACATAGGGATTTGAACCAGTGTTAATATGAAACGACTTTATTAGTGCAGCTTTAATATTAAAGTCTAATATGATTTTGATGCACAGAGATGTTTTCTTCCAATATTATTTTCTAATGGCATTTGAGATAACACCATTCAGTATCTGTAGCTGTAAGTTTAAGAATTGGATGTAATGAAATGCTATTGCGCTTGACAACAGAGAGAAGAGGCTGAGGGTGGCAGTCTGAAGCCCTCTGGGATGTTCAGCTCAAAGTCACATCACTCTGACTCCACCCACAGCTGTGGCACAAACACTTGCCCACTGCATGCACTAACATGTACAGTAAATGTACTGTATATACAGTATGTACAAGTGTAACCAAACACCCACTAATGCCTACAGAAGCACACACACACACACACACACACAGCAGGTCTAGTGTATCTACAAACAATGGGTGGTTGTTTTTTTATTAGCGGTTTCTTTATTTGTATCAAGTCAGCCTTCATCTGTGCCTCCCTTGAGGAAGATGTGTTTTGCTATCTGTGGTTGTCATGGTGAAGAAATGTCTGAGGAATCAGGTTAATAATATTCTGTATTTATAGTGCTTCTGCATCAAAAATGTGATTGTAACGACCAGTCTTTAGCGTTCATTTTACAGTTTCTGACCAAAAGTTGAACAGAAATCATACCAGCAGTTTTTTTGTGTACATGCCTGTTGGAGGTGAGGGGCTACATACACACCTGATCTTTGGTGGGTTTGCTTTGGGCGAGAGGGGGTGTTTGATATGTGTGACTCATGAAGCTTCCCCTTGTTTTCCTGTTTGATATCGTAGTGCTCCTCCCCTGCATTTACCCAGCGTATTGTGACTGGCTCTGACTCATGCCTGTGATTGCTAAACTGAAAGAACACCAGTAATTCACAACGCCGCCTTAAAAACAGCAGCATACTTGGTCGAGCTGTAAACATACTTTCTTAATTCCCGCTGAGAATGGGACATGATTTTGCTTCAAGCTCCTGCAAATTCGCAGGTCAGAGTTCATATTATTGAACTTTAACCCGCAGATCCGCATGCCCAGCTCAAAGAAGAAGCATTTCTTTTTTGGTCAGTCATCCTCTGTGATCTTGGCTTTTTTCTCATCACCCCGTTTTTGACTTGAACGTAATGTACCGTAAGAATGTGTGCATTTACGCAGCTTTAAAAGGATGAAAAATGTGGCTGAGTTACTTTCACCGCACCTAACGTGAGCACTTGTGCATAGCTACACATTCACAGTCCATCGAAGTCACAACTAACCAGTGGTGATTGCACACATTAGCCAGCTGTTGGCGAGGCCTCTGTTGAACCTGTTATGTGGGTGACAGCAGCTCTTTCACACCCTGACAGCTTCCTTATATCCCCCTGCCCTCCCTTTAGCACTCCTTCACACTCTCCTACCCACTATCACCTAGAGACTCCTGTATTTTTCCCTTTCATTTTTTTCTTTCTTGACCTCTCGTCCAAAAAAAGTGTTACCATTAATAGAAAAGGGGACAGGAGTCAAGAACCCATCCTGGTCTGACCTATTTTAGCGTGGAGATGGAAAGGCAGATCAATAGCAAAAAAGAGCTTGTCAAGATGAAAGGTCACATTAAGGCAGTTCAAGCTGGGATCTGTCACAGGGAGACATGAGGCTGCGTGTTACGAGCATGAAGAGTACGCAAAGATTGAAGAGTGTCTTCCTCTATCCATCTTTAGATGTCATCATCTCCCTCTGAGTCTGCCTTCATATCACCGCTTTGAAAATATACTTAATACGTGTCAGATTATCAAGCAATTACTGCACTTTGCCTCATTACCTACTGACATAAAAGAGACTCAATTATTTCATTTTGAACAGGCCTCAGTTCTTTGGATACGTCCAACAGGTCTTACAGGAAATTCGTTTTTCATTACTTTCTATGGCACTATGAAAAGTGCTCATCGAGGATAAGAAAAGGGATTATCTGGTCTTCATGACCAATCTACAAGAAACAACGGTCAGTAATTAAGTGCACATACTTAGAACTCAGGTACCTTCACTTGGGAATTTTAATTAAAGAAAATGTAGCCCACTGTATGGGCGAGAGAAACATCACACTTTTTATTCGACTACAGTTACACTTCTATGACAATTTACAGTCACTTATTAAATAAGGTTCTACATATTAAAGTGTGTAACATTTAGGAGGATCAATTGGCAAAAATGGAATATTATATTCATAGGTATGTTTTCAATAGGAATAGTTGTGTTTTCTTTAGCTTAGAATGAGCTGTTTTATCTACAGTGGGAGCGAGTCCACCATGTTGAACCGCCATGATATACAACATGCTCGGAAGGCAAACGGTATCTAGTTGGTCGCAAACTGCAGCTTCATCACTAGATGCCACTAAATCTTACACACTGGCCCTTAAATGTACAAAAAATTTTATGCTATGCCAAATTTCACTATGCTGACTGCATTTAACTGCTGGGTGCTGAGAGAGTGAGTCTAGGTCTGATCAAGTTTTAATCAGTCAGAGCTGCACATTGTCATTTTCAAAATATTGAGCTGCCACTCGTAAAGTTGTAAATTGACAGTTTTACTAACAGGAATAGCAACTGTCCAAACATAGTCTGTCCACTTTTGGGTTTCTCCACATTTGAAGCAGTGTGCATGTGGCTGTATTTAAAGAGTGAGAAGGGTGGTGTCTTTTTCCAGGAAACAAAGACTAAAACCAAAAACCCCAGAGCAAAAGTTTAGGAATGTATTAAACTGTGTTTATCTGCTCAAACTGTGTTGGGTTCACTGGCTTACTACCTACAGTCAGTGGTGGAACGTAACTAAGTTAATTTCTTATTGTACATTTTACTCCACTACATTTGTTTGACAGCTTTAGTTACTAATTCATTTTCAGATTACATTTGTTCATCCCCTTCCTGTCTAATGAAAACCATGTATCTCCGATTCTCCTACTTTGAAATAAACAATTTAAAAACCCTCATGGACTAGCTGGAAAATGCATCGTCACAAAGCTGAAAGCAGGGCACTTAGGAAACCTACGTTACGTTATTTCCTTCATACTTTCTGTATACTAGTAGCACTTACTAGCTCTGCTTTGCATATAAGAACAATGCTGTTTCAACTCGATGATAATGATGTTTCTTTGCCTGGGACATGTAGCTTCAGCATCAATATTTTGGCATTGTAGCATGTATGCAGCCATCAAGTGCCTTTAAGATCCCTTTTACAGGGTTCTCGTATTAAAACTAGTAGGGCTGCTCCCTAACAGGCAACTTAACTGTCAATGAGAGTTGAAGTCTTAGTCGACGCACTTTNNATAGTCGCAGAAAAACAAAAACAAAATGTCAAACTCTGTTCATCATCACAGTATGATACATAATCAGTCAAACCACAGGGATTATGTAAGGATTCCTCCACCACTGGTCACATTATTTTCATAGGAAACACTGCAACTTGTTGAGTGTGCTGTGTCTCATTACCATTAAGTGTCAGTTGGCTCATTTAGTTTAGTATGAACAAACAGGGTAGTGTGATGAGCTTGATCATCT